CGAGGGGGTAGCGTGGCAGCACGAATTTGGTTTTCCAAATAGGACCACAAATGCTCTATTGGATAAAGGTCAGGTGAATTTGGGGGCCAAGACATGACTTGAAAGTCACTGGAATGTTCCTCGAACCAATCCATGACGATTCAACCTTTATGACATGGTGCATTTTCCTGTTGGTAAACACCATCCCCCGCAGGAAAAACTGTTGCCATGAATGGGTGAACCTGGTCTGCAACTATGTTCAAGTAGCTTACAGACGTCAGGGATTGTTCTATGAGGATTATGGGTCCTAATGTACCCCATGAAAACATTGTTCCTGGCCCAGAAACCATGAAAACCTGGACGATCCCATTGTTATAGATGGAGGGTGGTCATAATGTAATGGCTCTTCGGTGTATATGTCCCTCAGATATTTTTAAAAAATCTTTTGGGATAAATAAGCCTGAATTTTATACAAACGCATGTCCCACTGGGTTTCTGTTATTATATTAACCTATTAGGCTAATTCACCGAATATTTTTATTTTCACTTTATTTAATCTATTAAAATAGTAATTTATATTTTTATAAGAAAATAAAAATTGATCTTTAACCCTTTTAAGTTTTGTAGACAAATAAACTGGTTTTTAATCCTTTCATTTTCCGTTTTGGTTTCAATAATGATTAATCAGAGCATGAAAGATTTTTAGTTTTCCTGCCCAATAAATAAATTTGAGATTTCTTATTTGAGTTTCTATATTTTTACGATGATACTCTAGAAATATGTAGGTTGGCCAAAATTAAAGTTGGTCATGTGTTTGAATCTGAATAGGTTTTAGGCGGATTTTGCATTTTCCGGGCTGTTACTATTTTGGTCATCTTTTAAATTAAAGGTGGGGCGAATATCGTGCATAAAATATTTAAATGAGTTGCTATCACTGAAATTTATATTATTTTTAAATTCTATCTTAAATATTTAGTTTCGAGAAATATTGGTTATTTTATTATTTTGCACCATAAAATCTAAATTCTTATGTTGTATTGACATCGTTCATTAACTGTGTTCTTCGTACAACAAAAGCATTTGATTTTCTAATGTAATACTTATTTGTTATTTAATAATTAATATCTCAAAAAAATGTAAGGCTCCTAAATGCATTTTTTCTTCCTTCAAAAATTTGTAAAGTTGTACTAGTTTACTTTTGAAACAAACACCTGACGTTGACTTTAGAACCCCATTTGATACAATAGCCAAAACTATTCTTGTTTTGCTTACCTAATTATTGCTATTTCAAAAATGTTGTTTGTTTTTATTGATCATTGCTATTGTTTTATTTATTATTTAATCGCAGTTTTGATTTGTGAATTTATCTTTTATATTATTAAGGTTGTACAGCGCGCAAAATGAAAATTTTACACCATTAATAATTTGTGATCTAATGAACGTATTTTCACTTAGAAGGATATAATTATAACCGTTGCTGAACACCCAACCCAGTTTTGAACTTACAAATGTTTCAATGTTCAATTTCCTAGCCGTGAAATTTTGAACCGAATCCTGAAGACAAGGGAACTCCTGGATCAAGTATTTAGAGAAATTTGCCATCTTAGAGGACTGTTTTATGTATCTAACCCGTGTTTGCATTTGCATTACATTGAGTGGAAAACCACGAAAACCTCCTATGGTTAGCCTGACGGCAAGGGGACTCTAACACCATGATCCGCCTACTACTGAGTGTAATTTTAGGCCAGCGATATGATCGGTCCAAGTCGGGTGCGGAATTCGGATCGACCAGCCAACGCTGGGATTCAAACCCGGATCACCTCATTTAGATTTATATTTGTTCACGCTGAAATGTATTTCTCAAGAAATGTCCATTTTAAGCAATTTTTACGTCGTTTTCATACCGATTATTACCATCATATACTGGATTAGTATTACCATCATATTACCATCATATACTGGATTAGTATGACCATCATATTACCATCATATACTGGATGGATTACTACCATCATACCGATTATTACCGATTATTACTCGTTTTCATACCATCTGTGAGTCAAAATGCTAAATCTTGTTAGTCAAAATTAAAGTAATTTTTTTTGAGGAGAATCCAAATCTGCGATAAAAAGCATAGGTTCTGATTTATGATTTTGAAGTTACTCTTACCCCCATGGTTAAGATCAGAGGTTGAGTTTGGTATCATTGTGTGCATTTCTTGGAACTATTTTCTTTGAGAACTTTTTGAACTATGCGATTTTTTCGGGACAATCGAGTACTGTTTCTAAACTATTATGGCCTTTCGTTGCACCGCAATAATTCTTCAAGAGTGTAGCTAAAATTTTATAAATGTGGGCTTAATTTTGATATATTTAATGATTTTTCATTATAGTAGCCCTACAAAGTGATAAGCAGTCTAGAAAGCAGGATAGTGAAAAACAGCAACAGAAATTCAATGCACCAGCACTTGATGTTAACAGTACAAAACAGGTGATTCGCCATACGTCTTTCAGCAGCAATCCAGTGGAAGAACTTGTATACGTAAATAGAAACCATCCTTGCGATCCCAAAAATATTTCTCGGTCACTAAGAGGGAATGAAATTTGGGAAACTGAAGAGGAATTGAGAGCTGTTTGCATTTTGTACAGAGTTACCAAAACACCTGTGATGAAAGTTAAACAGTTGGATAAGGTAGGTTAATCCGTTTTTTATGTTTATTCTTTTAAGCGTGTGATAATGGATTTGAAAAGTGTACTACAATTTAATCTACTGGGGTACCGCGCGTGGCGAGTTCTATACCTGCACGCAACACCTGCGAATCAATGAACCTTTTTTTCCCAGTTTGCTTATCTATGGTTTACGGTGAATTAAGTTTTCTTTTTTTGCTGCGTTAAATTATAGATCTGTCTTTTTTAGGATCAATCAAAAAAATATGCAGAGCCTTGTTTGGAAATTGTTATGAACTTTAATGTTTCCTTCAATAATGTTTTTTTTTCTAGTATGTAATGCCCGGTTCTTGAAACTTATTGATTAAACAAGTGTGTGGTGCATAGTCCTGAGGTTACTACGACTTTTACACATACAGTTTTTGTTTCATAACCATCGTTAAACAGTAGACCCAATTTCCGGGTTTACGACTACTAATGTTCAGCTCCTTAGCCTTGTAATTTTAAACCCAATACAGAAGACAAGGGAACTCTTAGATCAAATATTGGGAGAAATTTTATTGAACTAACTCGCATTTGCGTTACATGGAGAGGAAGACAGCGAGAACCTCCCATGGTTAGCCTGTTACAAAGGGACTCTAACCCATGATCCGTCTACCACAGAGGATATTTCTCGAAAGCTTGAACTCTCTATCCTCTGAGACATCGCGGCACTACACATAGAGTTTGTCACCTTCCACGATTCTTTTTTTTTCTTTTAAAGTTGTTGTTGCATGTTGCACTGTGGTTCCATGTAGAATGGTGAAATGAATGAGAAGGCCGAATTTAAATAACAATCAAATTCAATAATTATAAGAAAAATAAAATAGTGTGGGAAGTAATATTTAGGCTTCCCTATAAAACTTCCATTTGCCTGAAACTCAAGTTATACATATTCATAATTTTTATGACAAATGTCAGCGCCCTCGAATGGTGATTGAAACTAGTTGTAACAACGCACTCCGGATCTTGTTGCTGATCAATTAAAGGAAAAGAAAACTGTGTTCTAGCAGGCACCCTCGATTTTCTTCTTCTAATTTTTTCTAAAAAAAGAATACTTTGTGTGTTACTGTATATATATATANTATATATATAGCCTTGACTAGAGAGATTGCTTCAGATTCTTGCATTGTTCTGCCCGGTTCCTGTAATTTGACTTAATTAAAATAGATATGTAATGCATTGCCCATTGCAATTTACTCCATAATTTTAAAAAAAACTGCTGTAAATTGAAGCTGGAAAAATATATTTGAAGAAAGAAAAGTAAATATCAACGAACACTCTTGAAAGTGGACTATTCACCCACGCAATCCTCTTGTTAAATGAAAAGTCGAACAAGAAAAACACTCCTAAAAACAATACCACACTTTCTGATTTTAATTGTTTTTTTTTTACTCAATTAGTTGCTTAAGTGCCTTGCTCTGAAAATGAGCTTAAGTAAAAAAATTCTAAACACACACTGCACGTTTCTAAGTTTGTCTTAAGGCTGGATCTAAATTATTATTAATATTTTTTTATCTCTCATTAAGATAAAATGTGTGAGAGCTGAATATATTGAACTTTTAATTTCTGTTAATAGATAACAAATTTCATGAAAATATTTCTTTGGTAGAGTTAAAAAATAGAAATAAATTATTAACCTATTTATAAAAAAAGGTAGTAGTATACGAAATTGGTTGTTTAACCGTATTAGGTAAAAGCAGTTAATTAACGGTAGTTTTCAGAGTTTGAATATCATTTTATTTATGGTTATTTGTCTGTTTTGTTTAAATATGGTGATGTTTGTTTAAATATGACAATTAAATAAATTGTTATTTAACCATTTTTTTCGAGAAATTTCTAACAGTGCAGACTTATGCGTGAATTAATTGATACAGAATATTGTACATATTTAATGTCATTTAAAAAAATTATATTTATGAAATATTTATTTCTGAGAAATTAATTTTAAAAGTAGTCTGATAATTCTGAAAAGCATATTGTTATTAAACATATATACCGAACATGTACTATCTATTGTTAAATTTCATATCATTATCACTAATATTTTTATAGTATCTATAATAAAACTTCAAGTATCATTTTTCTCTTCATATTTAAATATTGCAGATTATTTTGTCCGTTCAGCTTTATTTTTGAAAAAGATGCATCAAAGTATTTATTTTTCACAGTTATAAATATTTAATTAACACAAAAAAAATTATACTTTCCATCTATTTTTGAGGCATTATTTATTTTATTTAAAGAATTGGTCGAATTATTAATACTCTTATTTAAGGAATAATTAATTTTTATGATGGGACAACATTCTTTATTATTCATGATTTTTTTTGCCGAGGGAAAAAATTATTTAAAGGCAATAACTGCAAAAAATAATGATTTTTTTTCTAATGGCAGGTACTGAACTTTAAAGTCCTTCTTCTGGGAAGATACCGGAAGTGTTGCTCATTTAACGTTACCCAGTGGGCACATGTGAGCCTAAGTCACGGAGAAGAGCAACATTACCCACGCCACACCGGCATAGATACCCGTTCATAGGGTGGGCCACATTCACACATCACAAAAAAAGACAACACAAAGAGAGAAACATCCATGCCCAGAGCGGGATCTGAACCCGCAGCTATTGACTTTGCAGTCAGGCACGCTAACTGCTCGACCACCTGGCCTGCAAAAAAATGAGTTAGAAAATAAAGAAGATACTAATTCATGAAAGACCACTTTTTGGTTTCATTAAAAAGCATTATTTGCCATAAATTAATGAGTTCTTTAGAATAAGAATTTAAAACAGAGATATATTTGTGGTTATCACGTGATACCCTACTGTGGCGACATCTAGTGATGAATTAAAACTTTAAAAAATAATTATTTTTCAATTTTTATTTTTTTATTTTTTTTATTTCTATTTTTTTCTTCAAATTTTTCAAAATTAGTTTTTAAAACGAAAAGGGAAATATGCAGAAAATTCTTAACATCCAATCATAGCCTAGAATCTAATTCTTTTTTCAGTTGTTTATCTTTTAACATTCATGGAAGGAATGACGCGTAATGTTACAGATGACGTAAACAGCGCCCGAAACTACTAAAACTGAATAATTAATTTATTTCGTTTTATTGTTATTCTATTAAATAAAGAAACATTATTTTTGCAAGTTAAAGTGAAAGGTGAGTGATTAGAAAGAACAGAAAATATGTAAAAGTGATGGGAGAAGTATGAATTCATTGCCTTGCCAGTTTATTTTACTATTGTATTTAAATAAAAAACAAGCAACGTGTTATTGGATAAAATCGAAAATAATCTTCTGTTTCACACTGATGATAAATCAGTGCGATCCCTTATTAAAGAACTCTAGAACTGCAAAGAAAGAAAGAAATATCTATCTTCGCTAATTTATAAATATCTTCAAAATATTTAAAAGTCACACACAGCCAGACACTTCTTTAATTGCATAAAATTATAATCATAATTATTATTAATATTTTTTTTGCAGATGTGTCATGAAAATGAAGGAGACAATCTCAAATCAGATAGTAAAATTTCTACGATTTCTGAACAGCTAAGTGGAAGTGTGATGCCATTCAAAGATAATAAAATTAGTAAATTAAAAACTGATGAAAACGATGGATCATTTTTTCAAAGTATCAAAGCTATGAAAGAAATATATACCAATCCGGTGTACGTCCTCATAAGCATCTGCATGGCAACATATGTTATCATTTTCATACCAATCATAACCGTGACCGTGGACTACAGCAAAGACAAAGGGATTTCGGAATCTTATGGGAAGTACCTCATCAATGCCCTTGCAATTGGTGACTTAGTTGGTTAGTATATCTACAAGGTACAAAATATGGTCACACTAGTTAATTTATTATGTGCTAAAAATTATGTCTCTAAAATTGAGAATCAAATAATGAATTTTAAATATTAAAACAAAATGTCAGCTTTTAGGTTCCTGAGTTTTTCTCCAATTTTCTGTTTCCTCTATGAATCATGCAGTATTTATGCATTTTAAAAAGAACTCAGAATATATAAAAATAAGTCTTAATTTTTTATTTTATCTCCAGATAAATGTACAGCACCCACCGCGTTTAAATGATCACATTGGTACCTGATTTTGAAGGTACTTGAAGATTTTGATTCCAAAAAACGATAAATAAACAGATTATACATTCCAAATATCAACCTTGTGTTAGACACGAAACAGTTTCTAATTTTTTTTTTACAGAGTTACTAGTATAAATGAAGAATACAGTTCATTAATCCATATTTCAAAAAATTTAATTGTTAATTAATTTTTTTAATTAAAGTTAGTGTAACTATTTTAATTTAAATATAGTTTTTACAAGGTTAAAAATACACAAATTAAGGCAGATTTTCTTTATTCAATTTTTCAAAATATGAAACGATTCCCGCAAATCAAATTTGATAAATAAGGAGCAGTGTTGAATGGATCAGTGTCACCACTCATTGGTAATGTTCTGAAAATTTTAATAGTTTAGTTAATGGGAATCCCACCATTTCCCAATATTTGGAAGTTCATTCTAATTTATTCTGTTGCCTCCTGGATTTCCCGCCAAATCCTCTTTCACATGTTTCTTTTTATTTCTATCGAATTCTCACATGTTTCTTTTTTATTATTATCATATTCTAACTTGTTCTTCTGTCCTTATTGGACAAAACACTTTGCACGTGTTTCTCTCTTTACTTCTCTTTTATCATTTGGTGTTCAGACTCTGAGGACGGATCCTGTTCACAGAACCGAAATTATAATAAGTTCGTTTATGTACTTTCATTTATGTACTTTCATTTGAGCTTCATTCGCGTTGTTTCTTTTTGCTTTAATCTACACAGTACAAAGTATACTCGATCCTTTTTGGACACCTTATTTTCTCTGAAAGAAAAGACCACCATCCTCACGCACACCTGTACACAACTCTTCCACATTCTAATAAATTCTACATTCCAATAATTCGGTGATAGCGAGATAACTGCATTTGATAACTGAAGAATTTTTTATGTTTTCATGTAAATATGAATCTAGTCTTGGAAATTTGATCACAATAATCGGCTGATTCCATTAAACAGTGTTTATACAAACCAATGGTCTATGTAATTATTCAGTTTAAAAATATTTTTGGCTCATATAAAGAAAAATTTTAAGATCGTTTAAATACATTTTTAACAAGTAGTTCGGCTTAAATTTCATGACCACATGCTCTTTTTTATCACGTTACACTGGGCTCCTTTGAGATGAATGCAGGATCGAAATTCTATTTTTCCCATAATTTAAGATTATCAAGACTATAAAAGAAATTATAATAATTATGTAGTATAATAAGTTAATAATACAGTATAATAATTTAATAAATAATTTATAACAATGCAGTATAATAATTAAAAAAAATTCTAATAATAATCAAAGAGTATTAATAATGAATTTTCAAAACGTGTTTTTTGTATTATATGTTGCATGATATTTTCAAGAATATCAAACACGATGATTGACATGACAATAGGGAAATCTTGCGATGCATGATCAGCTACAGATAATTATTTTTAAAATTTTCTTGTTACATAAATAAAAATACATTTCAAAATTTTTTTTAAGACAGATAATAATTAGACAGGGGAACATGTATTACACTGCATTTATGCAAATTCTTGATCTTTTCTACTTTGTGTGTGGAGATTTCAAATCCGGAATTAGTTTTGCGTCTAAAGCTACAATTTTTTAGTCTATTTTTAGCCGAAATGAACAAGTTTTAAAAACTTTATAAATAACAGGAGACAGATGTAATGCTTCGACAAACATCTAAGGGAGTCGGAGCAATTGATGGAGTTGGATTTAATTTTTAAGATTTCTCTTTATTTTGTAAACTGATCTTCCACGGAAAAGAGCTTACACACTTCAAATATTTAACAGGAAATAAAACTAATTAAATAAATACGTGATACACACATCCGATACTTTGAGCTCCGAATGAATAAAACAAAATAACATGAACAAAGCACAAATAAAGGTACATATATAGATATCCTATAGTTTTGGTACACACAATAATCTTTCCCAGTGTCTCAACACAAAATGATAGTAGAAAAATAACGAGACAAAAACGTTGCAAAGAGAAAAGGATTGGTTTAACCAGTAGAAAAGAAGTACAGGACAATTTTTTCAAAATATTCAAGTGGGAAAATTAAAATTTTTAAAAAAATATGGGAAGATTCCCAAGGAAGCAAGGTTGCTTCACGAAGATTAGTGTTGAAGATTTAAAAAGATTAAAAATCAAACGTATCATTAAAATTCCAATTATAGAAGAAGATAAGAATTAAATTCTCATGGAAGATCATTTAATGTTTTGATTTTGGATATGGCTCTAAAAAAAATTCGAAATTCAAGGGTTTGTTCAATTTTACACAGGATTACACTGACATGAAAATATCCAGTTAATTAATATCAGCGATAGTGTTTGTTATGTTAGATAAAGTTTGTTTTTGGTTTAGGATCTAGTTTTTAGTTAATAAGACAACAATCTTACTTCCAGGAAGACTTTGTTTTGGTTGGGTGACTGATCGAGGCTTCATGACGATTCCTTCCTTCGTGACAACGTTGCTGGTCTTGCAAGGCATCTTCATTGCACTGTTTCCTATTACCAATTCCCTGTACACCTTCATGACACTTCAAGTCCTTTATGGAATGGCATCTGGGAGTATGCTCGTGCTATTTCCTGTACTGGTGCTAAAGTATGTGGACATGAATAAACAAGCAGTAGCAATAGCTTGTGTTGGCTTCCTTTCTGGTTTAGTCTCATTCTGCATACCGCCACTCATTGGTAAGAAAAGCTTCAACAACCTATCTACATAATAATACTAGAGGGGCTTAAGGAGAAAAAAGTTCCAAATAAATACTGCACTGAGAAAAAAGTTTGATCAAATTTACCAGAATATGGTAAAATTTACTGTGTTTCTGGCTCTACAGGAATCCCGAAAATCTCGATAATTTTTACCGAAGCACTATGATAATGATTTTTAAGTAAAATTTACAATAAATTATGGTTTTTTTAATACGTGATAAAATTTGGTAATTGTGGTAAAATTTGTCAATTTTAGCATGATACGACATAAAAACTATTTAATCAGTTGGCATTTTTTACTAAATGTTGATGTTTAGTAATAAGAATTATAATTTTGAAAACCAGAATTTCCGGTAAACTGTTGCCATACAAAGGGAAGAATTACGAAATGAATGGTTTAAATACCATATATTTTGATTTTCTAAACTAGAACTGTTTTTGGTTTTTTTGAAATTTTTTTTAACCAGAAATGTTATTACCATACCGTACGATAATTTAACCAGAATTTTTTCCCCATGCATTAGCTTAGTCATAGTATATATTTAGTGAAGAATTCAAAATATTAAAGCAATTAAAATAATAATAATACATCCTATGCGAAAACGAGCTTAGCAGAAGTGAGTCCAAAAGGAATTAAACAAATGAGACAGTGAAAAAATGAAAAAAAATTGGAAAATATGACAACCAAAGCTGACGTTTTCAGGGGATGTTATGAAAGCAAAACCTTTCCTATCGAGAAAGCAAGACGAAGATCTAAAATTGCTTTCTCTGTGCCCCAAAGTTTTTGCCAAAGACCAGGAAAAGAATAGAATGCATAAAATACAATAAAACACAGAAGAATAATAAAGTTTATATTATACAATCACTATATTATCTTCTGTGTTTTATTGTATTTTATGCATTCTATTCTTTTCCTGGACTTTGGCAAAACCTTTGGGGTACAGAGAGGAAAGCAATTTTAGATTTTTGTCTTGCTTTCTCGATAGAAAAGGTTTTGCTTTTATGACATCCGAGGCTGGTACCCCCTGAAAACATCAGCTTTGGTTGTCATATATTCCAATTTTTTTTTAATTTTTTACATTGTCTTATTTATATATTTAGTGAGTCATAAATAGCTTCATTGAAATGCACCAAAACATGTAAGTTGAATTAATAAAACAAAATATTTAATTTTAGGAATAAAAACATATACAATTTAATTTGAATGGTCAAATGTAAGTCGTAAGAGCTACAATGAAAAATATTACACATCGGCATCTCTTTCAAATATATGAACTGTACAACAAAATAAATGCTAATTTACGACCTCCAATGGGTATATTGTTTGAATTCCTTTTAAGCAAGGCCGATGAAGTATTTTCATTTTAATTATTTTATTTATTAGACATGCTTCCTCATTACAATTTGCACATGCAGGCAAGACAATAATTTTTTATTGCTGATTCTGTGAATGTGTTGTTTGAAGTTAAGTTAAATAGATTTAAAAATTTTAATACTTCAATGATATAAATGTTAAAACTATTTTTAATTCGTATAGTATTGCCAATTATCACTATCATCATTATTTATTTAATTTTTAGGTTACTTTCGAGATAAAGTTGGATCTTACGATGGAATGTTCTATTTAACCGGAGGAGTATCCATTATATCAGGAGGAATGTGGTTGCTGGAACCCGTTGTCGTTAAACTTTATTATGGAGACGATTATCAGGAAAAAATTGACAATAAAAACTACTTTAAGAACATCGAAGGGCATGAAAAAGAAGCCAAACCAAGCTGATCAGGAGTAGAAGAAACCCTTGAAAACGTACCTGACATGTTCTAGCTCAGGGAAATTGAAACAGAGCTTTATTTTACTTTTAATGATTTAAAGTTTCAGTTGCACATCAGAACTATTTATTCTCTCTCAACGCTTTCAACGAGTTAAAGCAAGAAATATTTATGTAATGGTTTTTACTGTTTTTGTATTAAATTAAAACTTTTTATAATTGTAAAGTGTCTTTGGCATCGCAAAATTTGAAAATCCAGGACATAATAAGAGAGTATATTCTCCGTGAAGAATTAACACTATGCAGATTCATCTGTTTTCTTCTTCAGTTGATTCTAGAAAAATTTACACAAATTAAAAAAAAAAAAAAAAAAAAGGAAATTTTTTTTTCAAAAGAACACCGGGTATTTCAATCAGAGGACATGAAGTTCGCGTCATTAACCGCTCTCCACACTGAGAAAAAAAGTATGGTCAAAATTTCCAGATACTGGTAAAATTGACTTTGCTTCTGGTTCTATTTTAATAACGAAAAACTCAGTGATTTTTACCGAAGAGCTTTGGTTATGATTTTGGAAAACAAAATATAGTTTTAAATATGTTATAAAATTTGGTAAATAAGGCAAAATTTGGTAATTTTATCATGATACCTTAAAGCATGGCTTAAAAACCATTTATTCGGTAAAATTTATTTTTCAGTTCAGAATTTTTCACTTAATGTGTGATAATACGAACAATAATTTTTAAAAACAAAGTTTTCACTAAACAGTTATCATACGAATGGAAAAATTACCAAAATAATGGTTTAAATACCATATCTTTTTTTTCTACCAGAAATGACATTACTATAGCAAAGCGTTTTTTGTTGTTTATAAGTATAATTTTTCATTAGTGCAAAATATTTAAATTTGTTTTAAAATGACAAAATCATAATGATTTTCAGAGCCTAAACTGTGATTGTTTATTTGTTGCTTAAATATTTTTACCTCATAAAGCATATATTTTTAAATTTGAAATTGATATTGTTATTCCATAAATAATTATAAAAAGTAGAGATTAACAATAGATTATTTTTTGGTCAAAGCAAAATACTTTAAATAAAAAAAGTTATTTTTCACAAAATTTATTTTTGTGCACGAAGTTACTTTTATTCCTTTTAAAGGAAGCACCGAGATTTAAGTAACCTATTTAATTTACCATTGTATAGTAAAAATAAAGAAAACGCATCTCAGCTTTACTTTATTTTTAAAAATTTTCTTTTTCTTTAACGATGAAACACACACTACAAAAAGATAATCAATTGCTGTGGACAATGAGAATAAAAGAAAGTCAGTGCAACAGTAAAACATTTAGACATAATTTTCTTAAAAACGTTAAAAGGCACAACAAAAATCCCAAGGTTTTTAACTAATTCGTTAAAAAAAGTTGTAAAATCTGCTTAAATATGTTTTTTTTTACATAATTGTGTTTACAAAATGCCCGTACAAAAAATTTTTCATTTCGTATAATGTGACTTTTTACAGAGAGCTGAAGCATAACTAAGGAGCAAGGTTAATCAATCTTATTATTTAGAATTTTATAGGAAGCAAATCAAATCTCTACGACATTCGAATGAAGGAACAATACTAACAATGCTACAAAAATACTCTACAATGTATCAACAGAAACATCATGTGAATTAAGTTTAGTTGTTTTATGACTGAGAAAACGTCTAAAATTATTTTGACCTCCCCCCATACAATACTTTTTATTATTTGCAGTAGGGTCTTCGCACACAATGAGAGACTCCTTGTTTTTTTTTAATGTTATTTAGCTTCAATTTGAATTTTTTTTCTTTTACAAAATAATAAAAAAATAAGTTGGTGGCAGCTCCGTGTGAGGCTGGTCATCAAAAAGTAGCACCTCACTGGCCTCACGGATTTAGAAGTCCTGAAACATAGGAAAACGATTTTGTTTAGATTTTCTGAAGCATAAAGACATTATCTAAAAAGAAGCATAGCGGTTTTTTGATATTCGCAAAATTACCAAAATGGCGACAGCTTAAAAAGTTAAGTTTTTCATTAAAAAAATATTCATTAAAATACTAATATAAAATCGAAATATAAAAATATCAAAAAAATCCTATGCTACTTTCTAAAGAATATATTTTTACGTAATTTAAAATAAAGAACAGCTTAATTCGCTGTATAGATCATGAGAAAAACGTTAGGCCAGGTCAAAAAACAGCGTTTTGAGAAAAACGTGTTTAAAGTTTTGACTTATGGTAGGGGAAAACGTTTAATTTCATATATATAATGGTCGATAAATAAAATGCCTTATATACAGTCAACAGAATGGATGAGACACAAAAAGAATGTCGCCCCTCCTAATCCAGCCGAACGGGCCCTTCTACCTGCTTAGCGACGACTCTCTATTTTCCGGCATAACTTCCAAACGAAGTTAGGTACCGAGAAATCGTTTTAGACAGATATTAGGAAGGGTACAAAGATTCGAAAAATGCAAAAAAAAATTTTTTCGAATTTTTGAAATATTCAGGGTGGGGTTCCCCCTAAATCAAGGTAGACAAAAGCTTTGACATTTAAGAAGACATGGTGACATTAATTTTTACTAAAACGCAGCGAGGCAAGAAATGTAGTTAATTTGGAAACAGAAAAACTAATTAAAAGGATTCTTTCTTTCAATATAAACGAAAATGTAAGAGCTAATTAAAAATGATGGGTTTCTGTCACATGGTTTGGGTGTGGAGACTTTAATCAGTTAATTATTTTTACATTGGCTTATAATTACACTGAAATAGTTAAAGGTTTTAATCAATTAATTTTCATCGGTGTTTTCATGTAAAATGGTTTTGGATGTTTATACCAAATATTGTGCTCATATATCATCTTTCACATTGCTTTTAGGATGACTTATGGACATTGGTATTTAAAGGGCTTCATGCATCAGCATTTATTTCTTTTCTACTTTCTAATAATAAAAAGACGTGTTTTATTTTCTTATAATTTAAAAAAAAAAATTTTCTACGGAGTATAGTGCTTTTTATATTTTAAAGAGCAAAAATTAAAAAAAATTTTTTTTTCAGGACCAATCTAAATGTTTATTTAACGTATAATTTTCATTCTTTATTTGAATCATCTTTAAAAACTAATTCCTTGATCACTCTGAATGTTTATTTAAATATACATTTCTTCACTAATTTAAATGTCCTTCGTGAACTTATGCGCTTAAAAACATAATAAGCAAATACAACAATGCTGTGTTGTTAAATTCAAACTTCCGTTGGTCCATATGGTCCTAATGTATCTCTTTAAGATAAACATTGTAGCTTGAAGATGATAATGTCTTTCTCCGGTATAAATCACTGTACAGACAAAGTTAAGCAGAACCACTTTACAACCTTAGTCAACAGTTATTTAAAAAATAATTTTTTTCTGTCGCAAAATAGTAAGTAAATATTTAGCAACGTAAAAAATAAATATAAAATATTGTTGAGTTCAGCTTTAACATCTTCACTGCCTCAAACTTGAAGCACTTGACCTTGTCAGAGACATCTTGATTGTTTTTTATCTGCCTTTTAAGTTCAAAAGAGGAAATGACAAAAATTTAGGGATTGTAATTTTTCTTTTCGCACATTTCAATTACCGTCCTTCTTACCTAAATCCTATGCAAATATTGTGTCGCCGATTAACTTCCTTCTTTTCAAGAGTTGTTCAGATAACTTACATGCCAGTACTGTACATTTTTCAAAACAGTCGAGCTTCATCAAAACTCAATGAGTACTAAATTTGAACCGTTAGTGCTGTAAGATCGTTGAAAATCAAGATGGTGAATTTGGAAATGCCCGATGAAGGGTGGGCATGGGTGATTGCTGGTGCAGGTTGTATGATCAATATGCTGTTATCTGGATTATCCAGGATGATCGGTATTTTGTATGTTTATGTTTTTCAACAGTATAATGTAACGAGACAGGAAGCCTCTTTCCCTTTTGCTGTGAGGAATTCTATACGAATGTGCTCAGGTGAAGTATTGATGAAATTGGTTTGGAATTTTATCTAAAATAGGTTAAAGAACACTTTATTGAATAAATCTTCAAAAACAACCATTTTGTTTCTTGCAAATTTCAATAGTTTAGATTATCTTGATTTGGCTTAAGATTTGAATTTTTTTTATTTCTTTCTCTCTGTTTTAATCATTTTTGTGTGTGCAAGCATTCTTTCCGTTTAGCACTTCAATTTGAAACTTTCTAAGCGTAAACATATTTTTCGGCCGGCCAGGTGGCCGAGCTGTTAGCGCGCCTGACTGCGAAGCCAATGGCTGCAGGATCGAATCCCGATCTGGGCATGGATGTTTCTCTCTCTTGTGATGTCCTCTGTTGTGTGTGATGTTTGAATGTGGCCCACCCTATAAACAAGTTTGTGGCAGTGTGGCGTGGGCAATGTTACTCGCCTCCGTGACTTTGGTTCACAGGTGGCCAATGGGTAACGCGAAATGAGTAACAACTCTGGCATCTTCTGAAGCGAAACGAATAAAGTTCAGTAACTGCAACTGATTAAGAAAAAACATTTTCCTATCACAATAAATTTATACAAAGATGGACAAATTTATTGTACAATAAATGCAATTTATTGTACAATTATGTAATAGATTTTTTTGTAAGAATCGGAAGATTTCAATATTATTTTCTATACAATTTTGTAAGTAGTAATTTGTATACGGTCCCTATAACAATGAATTTCTATAATAAGAAATGTATTTGTATATTCACTATCACATAAAATTTTAATAAGGTTGTTTTGTAATAACCACCCTTAATACTCCTTTCGAATCCTTATCAAAACAGTGTGGTGTTTAGGAGTCATAAACTAATATATAAATAAAAAAAGAAAACAAAATATTTCAGAATCAGCAACAATCGTTTTTGAGATGGGGAAAAGCAAAACAGGAATTAAAATTATCAAAGATCATTAGTAAAGATCGAATTTCGTTAAGGAACTGCTTTTAAACTTCTACATGAAGAAAAAAAATCGGTTTTAGATTATTTTAATCTTATTTTTCCTCTTCGTGACCTTAAAAGAAAACAGTTTAAAAGCACTTTTGATTTTTATCACTTTCAAAATTATAGACATCTAATGTTAATATTTTTTTGTCTAAATTTTCTTTAACCTAATAAAAGCATGCTCAAGACAGAAAAAGAAAGCCGTCACCTATATTTTTAAATTCAGAAATGCTTTTTGTTTGTTTATTACCATTAAAATTTCCAAAAACGTTTAATCACAAATTTAATATAAATTGATACCTTTATATGACTTAAAATATAATACCTCTAAAGTTGTATCCAATGAATTCTAATTTAATCTTATAGATGTAATAAAATGAAGAAAATCTTAGAACACAAGTTTTCTTTTAAATTGAATGTGCTGTTTCTTAATGTTAAAGAAGCTTATTTGCCTATTTTTCTCTTGGTTTCTCAATCCTTAAATGCATATTATTAATTACACTATTTAGATAATAAAATGGGTTTTACTTTAAAAAAATAAAACAAAAATGATTAATTTTTCTTGAAAAATTTTCGAATGTGATACGTCAACAAAATTTGCTTGAAGCCAAATATTTTGGCATTATTTTTCCTTTCCCAAACTAATTAGTACATCTAATAGCCATGCGTTTTATTTACGTGTATGTTTAAGAAAAATTAAAACTAATAGTGGAATCCAAAGTCATTTAGTAATATAAATCAAATGAAAAAAATGCAGCATCTTGCTGTACAGAAACTACATTCGCAATCATCGATAACTAGAAATGACGATATCTAGAGACACCAATACTTATAAAAAAACTCACAAATCTTTTATACACTTCTAGTAAACAGATGGCAGCCTCTCATTGGTTTTAAAAAAATAATTATAAAATGTCGTCATTTACACGTAACTATTTGTAATGAATAGCTATTTCCTCAACTGAAATTTTGCTGCCCAGTTCTTAAGAGTCAATAGAGAAACCAAGCAGCCAAAACGCTGCGTGTTAATCAGGGTAAATTCAATGTTATGACATTTATTTTACTTTCGATGCTGAAGTTGTAACGCAGGGAAGCTATCTTCTAACGAATGCGTTAGTTTTAAAGTTTAACTTGAATTTAAAAGCATTGTAGGCGTCGCCATTGCAGTCTGCTTTTCATGAATGTGGTGAAAATCTATTATTTTACATACCACACCATGTCATCATTTATATACATCTAAGAGCCATTCCATTATGACCACCCTGCTAATAACATGTAGGACAACCTTTAACCCTCAAAATTGCTAGCACCCGCTGTGGCATTGATTCCACAAGGTGCTGATAGGTAGTCTGAGGTATCTGGTACCAAGCGCTCACCAACTGGTCCTGCAATTCCCTCACATTGCGAGGGGGTAGCGTGGCAGCACGCATTTGGTTTTCCAAGTAGGACCACAAATGCTCTATTGGATTAAGGTTAGGCGAATTTGGGGACCAAGACATGACTTGAAAGTCACTGGAATGTTCCTTGAACCAATCCATGACGATTCGACCTTTATGACATGGTGCATTATCCGGTTGGTAAACACCATCCCCCGCAGGAAAAACTGTTGTCATGAATGGGTGAACCTGGTCTGCAACTATGTTCAAGTAGCTTACAGACGTCAGGGATTGTTCTATGAGAATTTATGTGCCCCATGAAAACATTGTTCCTGGGTGAGAAACCATGAAAACCTGGGCGAGCCCATTGTTATAAATGGAGGGTGGTCATAATGTAGTGACTCTTCGGTGTATTTTATTCTTAAGATTCAATAGGAACCAAGGAACCAAATCTGTCATGTAAATTCCATGTTACGCCGTTTCATGGGGTAGAAATTTTTATAGCCAGTAGTGTGTTTAGGCTATTAAGAGTTACCCTGGCTACAGGGTAATTATTGCTTACTGTGGTATATATTGCCCTCTACTAGTTTTTGTAGTAATGATATTTAAAAGCAAGAGTTTTTGGGAAATGGTTATTTAAAATTGTGAGTCCATACAGTGTGAATAAAAAAAAAGAGTACCCTGAATAACTCTTCTGATCTAATAATCAGATTTTCATATTCTAAGTCTAATCTTAATGGCTCGAGGTGATCTCAAATATTCTAATTAATAACTGCAGACGATATTTTAAGTTACGAAATCTGACACATAAACGTACTTTCTCTGAAAAAACATTCCTTCTTTTCGACGCATTCGGATTTCTGACCCCCGAAATATAAGGGGTGACCGCAGTCTGGGAAATATGGTCTCAATAGTTTGGTCAGGAGAGAGCTCCAAAGTTTTTATCATTTGATGTTAATTTTACTTCTTGTGCGTATATCGCTATAACTCGTGAACTTTTTAATCCATTTGAAAAAAATTTTGCACGCCATTATAAAATTCGTTTATTCAAAGATAAACGAATGATTTTGTTATCCATGTAAAAAAGAACTCTTAATAAATATCTATTATTTTTTATTATTTTATTTGAGAATGGTCGAGAAAATTTTGAATTGTAAAATATAAAATTTTTTGCATCATTTTTAAGGAATAATTTTGCATGGCAAAATACAAAATATGAGCAAAATCGGGGGAATATTTCCTGAGAAATTGAATTTCAAAATAGCCAGGCATTTAAAATCCAATTACTCAGGAGCTATTCAACCGATTTCGCTCAAATTTCACAGTTTGCCATGTAAAATTACATACTTTGAATTGATATAAAAAAATGTATACCTTCAAATTCAAATATTTTTCGACTATTACTCTATAAAATAATAAAAAGTAATAAATATTTACTAAAATTTATTCTTTGCATGGAAATGTCTTTGGATAAACAAATTTTAAAACTGTGTGCAAAACTGGTACAAACCAGACGGTTTTTAATTCTCCTTTTAATACATTTCTATTCTCTTTGTAAATAGAATAGGTATCTCAAGCTTACGCGATTTCACCACTCAAGACACTTTTCCTCTCTCCGTCCCAATTGTTTCGTTAAACTTTCCCCTTTCTCCAGTATATTCAAACCTCTTACTGAACCGTATTGCAGTAGGGAATAAAGCAAGATTCTCCGAAACCATGGTAACAGAGAGGGGGAATTTGTGGAGAGTGAGGAAATTACGAAACTTTGAAAAGCCTATTCTGTTTACGAAGAGTATAGTACCTTATTAAAAGTATTATATGCTTAAATACAGTTATGTACCTATATTTATTACAATTAATGTTTAGAAGTGTTTAGTAAAAAATAAATTAAGAAAAAAAAAACTAAACACCTACTGACATTGTTTTGCTGCTTTTCCATGTATTATTTGGAGGATACATTAAAATTTGTGTTATGGTTTCACTATTAGGTCCATTGGTTGGTATCGTAGGTCAAAGTTTTGGCATACGGACAGTGACATTCTGTGGAGGAGTAATCGCAGCACTAGGGGCAGCGCTGTGTTGCATTGCACCGAATATAACCTGGCTGACTGTTTTTTGGGGTGGAATGCATGGTAAGAGGTTAAATAATATATTTTATTAACAATTAATCATGATGGGTATCACGTAATAACCACCTTTAATATATTTTTTCGAATCCTTGTAAAAATAATGTATGAAAATCAATGCACATTAGAGATCTCTCATTACTTTTTGAGGAACCAAAAACATCTTAAATTATCTACTGAGATCAATAAAACAAAAGAGGGCTTGGATAACACGTTTACTCGAGGATGTATCGTAAAAGGGGTTCGCAGCGAAAGGCGTATGAATTAGAATTATTTTTTCTTCCATATAAACTTCCGATCCTTATTGTGGTAGTTCAATTTTTACAATTATTTAGTAAAATAAGCCGCAATGGCTCAGGAGATAGATTGCTTGCCTATCAATAAGGAGATTCAGATTTGAATCCAAGCGGTGGCTGGTATATTCGCGCATAAAGCACCCGACTAGTACCGATCGCAGTGCTGATGGAAAATTTACTTTAAAAGATGTAAGCTGAGGTCACTTCCCCTACTTGCCTACTGAAAATTCATCAATGATCAATCGGTTACTTGCAGCAACCAATTAGTGACGTTTCCGTTGGAATGGGAATCAGAATTGTTCTATAGGAACAGTGTAATTAACTGGTTACCATTCAAGACCACAATTTACAGCAATTGATTGAACTTTACTAGTCAATTGCTGCCTCTAACTTGGACACCTCTATAGGTAAATGAATCATGGGTTCCCCAGCTGTCGGGTGAAGTATAGTAAGATTTCGTGGTTTTCCTCTCGTATAGCACTTATTCCGATTAGTTTCGCCTCAATGCAATGTTTGATAAAGGAGCTTATTTTTTCTTAAAGTTAGATTTAAAATAAAAAGACTACGGAATTAAACATTAATGCAATTGCAAATTCTAAATGGATTATCTGTTCAATGCTTGCAATCAAACGAAATAAATTATTCTTGAAGAAACATTAGTGAAAGGCTGTAATTACAGAAATTTCTTCATAAGAATTCTAAAAATAACAAGTTAAAGAAATGAGTGATCATCATAAAATTATTTGAAATAACTTAAAACTACAACTAGATTTCTCTATAACTCAATCATTTTTTTTAAAGTTATCAACACAAACTATGCTATATAATATTCCTACCAATATTTAGCATTCTTCTTTATGAATTTATAATATTGATCTCGAGATAACATTTGCACATATCCTGAGTAATTTCCAATCAATTTATATCAATATCAATTTATAATATTCTTCTGGAGATAAAATTTACACATATCGTGAGTAATAGTGACATATGTTTTTTCCAATGTATCTACTTATTTTGGAAAATTCTCAGATAACATCAAGTATTGAGTGAAAAATGATTACGTTTTTAGGTATCATAAAAATGTAGTAACATATTCCATTCAAATCTTAAGTAATTGTTAAAACAAATATAATAATTTTCTAATGTTTCTTATTATTATAATTAACATTGAATCAAATAATTTAAGAAAATGGAACTTATCTTCGTACTTATTTAAAATAATGGAACTAGTAATTTTATTTGAAACAAAGTATTTCATATGAATGAAATGAATAAATAAGATTCAATTAAATAGTTAATATAACCTAAAGAATTATTTAAAAAATTCAACGAATACTAATGTTAAAAAATATTATTAATCTTTTTAAAATTAATTATTTAGTGAGACTAAAAAGAGTTATTTGATTAAATGAATGATTGAACTAATTTCTTTGAAGTGAATAATGTAATTAACTTTAATTATTTAAGAAAATAAAATCTTTGTAATTAATATTACTGAAATCAGTGTATCTATAATTAATATAGCTGTTACTTTTTCGTATTTTTTTCCTTATGATATTTTTTTACAATCAAAAAAATATTATATATGAGTAATAATATAATGTATTTATGCAGGTGTTGGATTTGCTTTTGCTAACACACTCTTCCAGGTAGTTGTAAATCAATATTTTGAGAAATATAGGGCTACAGCATCAGGAATAGCTTTATCAGGAGCTTGTGTTGGAAGTTTAGGTTTTCCTATTTTGATCGAAACTGTGCTAGACACCTATGGACTTAGTGGAGGTTTTCTCATTCTTGGCGGCGTCATTTTGAATGTTCTACCGCCAGCACTCATGCTCAAATCACCATCATGGGTGGAAAATCCTGAAAAATATGCCAGACTATGTAAGTCAAGCTAACTCTATAATATTCTTTAAAAAAATTTTTTTTCTGTACTTTTAAAAATATAGAAGCATCTCTGTAGTATCAGTTAAAAAAAAAACAGTGTTATACATGGAATATCGAATCAGTTAAAAAAAAGTGTTTTTTTCCAAGAAAGTGGTTTTGGTTTAGTTCATAGTGCTTAGTACTATTTGAAAAGTATATCTCAACTTAAACTTCCCCTACGTGAATTTTTTTTCGTAAAAATGCAATTATTCCGGTACGTGAATTTTTGTTCGTAAAAATCCAATTATTTCGATGCGTGAATTTTTGTTCGTAAAAATGCAATTATTCCGTTGCGTGAATTTTTGTTCGTAAAAATCCAGTTATTAAATATGTTAATATGTTTGTTACGTCAAGAGCTCAGGTATCATAATTTTGATCTAGTTGCTCTTGTATAATTTTGATCTAGTTGCGCTTTCTACGTCATTTTGTTAACATCGTTTGGTTTGTCATTTCTAAGTTAACTTTCAAAAAATTGGCTGGCAACAGCATTTTTATTCTTTAAGTTGTTCATTTTAATTTCTTTTAGAATTTGCTCTTTTTTTAGCGAAATGTTTTTTAACCTAACAGAATTCTTTGCCGACTGTTCTCTGTATGTATGAAGAAAATAAAGTAAATATTTAAGTGTTGTGAAAAGAATCCTATTTAGTTGTACAAAGTACTTCAATGTTATTATGTAATATGTTACTATATAAGATTCGCGTGGTTTTTTCTGTTTATTATCCTAAGAATTATACTCTAAGAGTGACTTAATGAATAATTTATAGTGGCTCGCAAAAAAGCTGAAGAAGCAGCCAAGCTGAAAGAATCGGTTGAAACAATTGATACAGATGTTACAATAATTTTGGAGCAACATGAAATTGAAAACGTTTGTAATCAAAAGAGGTTGGCCCGCCAGAGGTCTCTGAGTAACAATCCAGCTGAGGAGCTAGTGTACCCCATTAACAGCAACCATCTTGAAGACACTAAAGGAATTTTCTCACATCTCAGGGGAAATGAAAGTTTTCCAAATTCTGAGGAAGAACAGAGAGTCGTTTGCACTCGATACAAAATGAAACAGTGCCACGTAAGTATTTATTTTTTTCAAAATTTTAGTAACTGTTCTTAAAATTATTTGAACTTTCATTTTCAGGTATTATAAAGGGTACTATCGGGTACTATACAAGTATAAACAATAACTCATAAACTAGAAACAAATATCTAAACAATCGAAACAGCAATCAACACAAAATCCATGTTACCAATTTTTCTTTTTTTTTTTCAAGCCTAGACCTATAATTAACCCCACCGTTTAAATTTTTCAAGCATTGTACTTTATTTTGGAAGTGTGTATTTTTTTTTCGCTGATGCTTTTCATTCCGTAAATATAAACAGGCAACAACTATTAGACCCAATAAATAAAGATCAATAAATATAAATATTCGATAAATCTAAGCAATTAATTAACATAAACAATCAATAAAAGAATAACTAATATAAATTATTATAATATAGATAATATAAATAATCTATGTAATATAAATAATATTATATTTATCTGTACAGAAATAAATATGTATAAATGATTAAAAGAATAATCAACAAGACAATATGTTTGCCATTTTATTATTATTTTTTATTTTTAAACATAAACTTAGAATTTGTGACGATGTTTCTAATTTTTAAGTGTTGCGAGTCACGATTACACTGTGGCTAAAGCATTAAGCTGTCATTGTGAAGGACTGGGGTTCGAATCCCAGTGACGGCTTGGAGCTTACCAAGCAGTTTCTAGTCGATAGGTACCTGCCTTCAGGAGTTCTGTTGTTGTTTACACCAAGTTAACCTTCAATGCGAAGGCGAGTAAAACTTTCAGAGACTTTTTGTAATAACGTATTCTATTTTAAATGTTCACCTACGCATGTACTGCAGCAAACGCGGAGTTACTGCAGAATATACATACGTGAATCAAAGAGACACGAGGTGATACAGCGTTAACAAAGTTCATGTTTAGTATCATTTGATTCTGCATTTAGTAAATTTAATTTAAAATGATTTTGCTCTCCCCATCGTTGTAAATAACTTAGACATTTACATAAAATGTTGCTTTGCTCTGCTTGTCTCAAGGGGAAACTTTTTAAGGAGCTTTGAAAATTAAACAAACTTTTGATATTTAATACTCGACCTTTTCGTAGAGTATTTAGCAGAAAGAAGAGTACAAAACTGCAAAACTAAATGGTAACACAAAACTATCAATTTAGATACGTAAACTTTATAAACAAGGTAATTGCAACCTTAAGAAAGTTAAATATAAAGGTTCTTCTTAGTTAAGAAACTTTAGAGCAATGTGACTTCGATTTACAAAATTTGCAAATTTACAAAATTTACAAGACCCCATGTGCTGAAAACGTGAATCACGAGTTCGATCCTGATAGCCGATGAAACGCTTGGAGTGTGTATTCAAACGCACGCTTTGATTTTGTCGAGACTGATTGGTGCAGTATAGAAATTTGAGAAGAGATATACTAACTCAGACGCGGTTCATAGCCTCAGACCGAAATAAAGATTACAAAACTTTCGTATCATGACTAATAACAAATAGAGCCCTGAAGCACAGAAATAGACTCTTAACCTTTCTTGGATGATGTATACAAATTGTATTAGGGACACACGTACAAACTTTTTATTGATCTTTTTTTGTTCGCAGCAACAGCTAATAACATTCTATTCTTAAAGGCACAGTACACAACAGTAAGGGCACAGTTAACAACATAGGAAAATTTAAAAAAAAATTATTTTATGTATTTCTAGATAGTTTATCCCCTTAGTATTATTTAACCAAATAATTGAATTGAGTTTTGAAAAAATGTAAAAGTTACAGCATAATATGTCGAGCGAGGCAGGACACGCTGTGACATATATAATCATGCGAACTTCTCCGCTCAGTTGATTAATTCCCCCATTTTATCAAAACATTTTAGTAAAATTCTATTATTTTAACTATTTCATTGAAATAATTTGTCTAAAATATGTAAGGAAAAGAAAATGGTACTTTTAATACAAAATATTTGAACTTATTTAGCTGAAATAATTTTAATGAAGGTTGCAAAGGGTTACTGATAATTAAATATCAATTAGAAATATGTAAAGAGAAGCCCAGCAGACAAATGACTGCAGAATTTCAAATGAAGAGTAGAACTCAAAATGGAGATGACTGTAGAATTTCGGTTGCTACTGTAAAACACATGATGGTAGATCGTGAGGGTAGGCATCACATGAGGGTAGATCGAGAAGAAAACGAGCTAGACTAGCTCTTGAGACGCTGGAAGTGATAGAGAAAAAGCATCTTTTTAACTTGGTATTGATGCATTATAGTTAGTTGCAAAATTTTGTATATTTATATAGATTATTGATCTCAAAATTTTGAACGCAATTTTCTCGGAACTGTGTTTCTCTTACTTGCTGTAGCTCTAACTATTACAATTTTCATCAGATTTACTTCAAACTTTAACACAATGTTCGCAGTAAATATAGTTTTCATTGCACGCTTCAATTGGGTTGACTAATTTTGAGTAATCTTTAAAAATATAACTTATTTTAGGTCATTTTTTAAATTCTTTTTGAAACTAACAACGTTTTATGAAAAAAATTTAGTTTTTAAAAATTTTAGGTGCAATAAAACTGTAGTTTAAGGAAATCAAATTATTAATCAATTAATTGATTAATTTTTTTTTTATTCGCAACATGATAAAATGAAGATTATAATGTGTAAAATAAGATAGAAAAATACTAAGTTAAATTTATCACAATCATCGCAAAATTCATTAAGAAACCATTTTTTCTTACAGGTTTCAACTGTGAAAATAATGCAATATTTTTCAATTTTTCAAAATAATGCAACCCTAAAAATAATGCAATATTTTTTATTCAAATTTGAGGTGTGTTGGCAATCATTCAATCAAAAAATAAAGTATTTATTTCTAGGTTTCTCCCACCCTCGAAGAAGAAGAAGAAGTAGAAAACAATGGGCAATTGCACACGATATCGGAACAAGTGGCTGAAAAAAATGGCGACATACCACCGTCTTCTGAAAGCCAAACCAAAACAAAGGGAAACAGAACAAGTGTCTTGGACACCATCAAGATGATGGGAAGGGTTTACAGCAATCCAGTTTACATCCTCATAAGTGTGTGCATGTCAACATACATAGTTATTTTCATTCCAATTCTGACTGTGCTTGTTGATTATGCCATAGATAAAGGAATCGATGAAAGTTATGGGAAATACCTCATTAACGGACTTGCTCTCGGAGATTTAGTTGGTAGGTACTAGCTTCTAACATTCCACATAATTCTACTCGGAAAGAATGATTTTATGAATTATTTAAAGTTTCAATAAACAAGTAGCAAATTTTACTTAAACTTCATAAGTTTTTATAAAAAAACATAATTTTCTTGGCCACTAAGAGACGACAAAGCCAATACTAGTGATAACTTATATTAATTTGAAATTTGCATTTTCGAACATGGGTATAAGCGAAACACAAGCAAAAAAAATTTATTCATCAAGTTCAAAATTTTTTGCACAGATAGTTACATAAAAGTAGGGTAAAAATTGTAAATTTTGAAGTGTTGAGAATATTATAAATTTGTAATTAAAAAAATTATCCGTGAGAGAAAATTTGATAGAGTTGGTTTCATATATTTTTAAAAACATACCCTTATAGGTAAAGTAATTATTTTATTTAAATGTTTTTAAGAATTATAAGACTCATTTTGATATTTTAAATCAGGGTAATACGTAATAGTAAGCAAACGTTTTCATTTATTTCAGACAAATAAAATACTTTTTGCAAATTTCATGATTTTTTCAAAAATTCTAATAACTTTTTAAATGATCTAAATTTAAATTGAAAATTATCCTCAGTCCCAATGTATAGAACATAAAGTTTAATAACTAGGTCGTATGCAAAATATATTTCAAATAAATAATACGAATATGCTCTCAATATTTTAGAAATGCCAGTTGGGTGGCCGAGCGGTTAGCGTGCCTGATTGCGAAGAAAATAGTTGCTGTTTCGAATCCCGCTCAAGGCATATGTGTTTTTCTCTGCGTGTTGTTCTGTGATGTGTGAATGTGGCCCACCCTATGAATGGGTAGTATTGCGTGGTAGTGTAGCATGGGTAATGTTGCTCGCCACCGAGACTGAGGTTAACAGGGGCTCACCGGGTAACGTTAAAAAGAAGCATTTCAGAGGCAAAACTCAGTGCCTGCTGTTAAAAAAAAATATTTTTAAAATTTTCTTGGGCAACAAGAAAGAAAAAAAGCAATAAAAAGTCCATGTTTTTTATAAACCATGTAGATTTTTTAGAGACCATATAGATCCATGCTTTTTCTTAAAGAATTCATGTTTTTTAGGAAGGCTTGGTTTTGGTTGGGTGACTGATAGAGGCATCATGACCATTCCCGCTTTCATGTGTGCAATGCTTGTGTTACAAGGAGTCTTTATCGCTCTCTTCCCAATGGCCATGTCACTTTATGCTTTTATGGCAACTCTTGTGCTTTACGGAGCGGCAGCAGGAAGTATGTTGGTGCTGTTTCCGGTACTAGTACTCAAGTATGTGGATATTCACAGTCAATCAGTGGCTTTAGCAAACGTCGGATTTCTTTCAGGATTAGTTTCCTTCTGTGTACCACCAATGATAGGTAGGTAAAAGTGAATCATGACAAGAAAATTCCTTGAAATCTAGATAATATTATTCAGGATAAGGGCACAAGTAAACAAACATATTTTAATGAGGAATTTATATTTTTGATACAATTACACACATTTAAATAATTGACGCATAGAATTAAAAAAAAGTACCTTGGATTTTTTTTTTCAGTTTCGAACTTTTGATAAATGAGATGAAAAATATCTAATCTGTTTTTTCCTCATTTCTCAGTTTCACAAATGAATAGTTCTCAATGCTCTACAAAAATGCCAAGTTCTTGCAGTGCTTTTTCGGCATAGTTGTCTTATAAACAGTATCTTAGGTGCGCCAATGGCTAATGGTCACCATAAACCATGCTATTTTTTTTCTATGAGGTTACGCCAATAAAAACTGTTTCTAAGCCATTTACAGCAAAACGTTGTAATAAATTTAAGACAGCATTTTTGCTTCATTTGGAGCTAGTGACGGTGTTAAAATTCAAAACGGACGGACGCTATATTACGATGGTGTGGACAATAAATAATTAGGCATATTCCATTATAATTAAATAATCACATTTATTTAAAGTTATCTTATATTGCTAACATGAGCCGCCATGGCTCAGAGGATGGAGCATTTGCCTTGCAATGCGGTGAACCAGGTTCGAATCCCAGTCGATACGAATTTCGCATCCGGCTTGCAACGACCACAGTACTGACGTGAAATATCCTCAGTGGTAGACGGATCATGGGCTAGAGTCCCCTTGCAGTCAGGCTAACCGTGAGAGGTTCTCGTGGTCTTCCTCTCAATGTTACGCAAATGCGGATTAGCTCAATCAAAAAGTCCTCCACGAAGGTATATTTCTCCCAATACTCTATCCAGGAGTTCCCTTGTCTTCTGGATTTGGTTCAAAATTACAAGGCTACAGAGTTGAACTTTAGTAGTCGTAAACCCATAAAAAATTGGGTCGACTGTTCAACGACGGTTATAATATATTGTTAACATAAAATACTTTAACTAATTAATATATAAAAAAAGGACTAATTGGTATGGAGAGATTTTACCCATACTGCACTTCATAGCGTCTCTGTAAAGCACACTGCACTGCCTCTCTATTTCGGATCTTATATAATATACCTTTTTTGTTCGATATAACTATTGCTAAACTTTATAATGGTCAAAAAGTTGATCAAACTTGAACTATAAGCTCGTGATTAACCTTTTCGACACGTATTTCTCAAGACTTTACTCAAGAGCGTTTATTTAATTGTGTTAAAGTTCTGTGTGCTAATGGAAGTTCCTTCAATATTTACAATCTGATCAATTATTTTTGGAATTTACGATAAAGCTATTTTAAATGTTTAGTTGTGATTCTGCAACAAGTGAAGATAAGCGTCACAGTAATGACATTACAGTTCAAAATTTAACCGTCATACATAAACTCAAAATAAATTTTACTTTATTTAGTTTATGTATTATTTATTTTAATACATAAAATAGTTCAGAAAGAATAATTAAGACCCAGTCATTTATCTGTGTAAACCCAATGCTATAAATTAGGCAATATTTGATTGGAATAAGTTTATACCGTATTCTTTACCATTATAAAACATTAGACTTGAATTTAAAGTCATAATGTTATTTTTTCGTGATTTTAATTTAAAGTCATAATATTATATTTTCGGGATCATTGTAAAAGATTTTCTAAAAACTGTTTTTTCAGGATATTTCAGGGATTATGTGGGATCGTATGATGGTATGTTCTACTTGGTGGGAGGAGTTTCAGTGATGTCTGGAGGGATGTGGTTGATGGAACCCGTGGTCGTCAAGTACTACTACGGTGAAAGCTTTCAGGACGAATTGAACAACAAAAACTTGTTCCAAAATATTGAAAAACGAACAAAGGAAGAGTCCAAGCCAAGATGATTATGACTTATAACTTATGACTTGTACAAATTTGAAGAAATGAACTTTTAAGCAACGTGTTCTTCTCCATCACTGTTCAGAAATTTTAAGTTATAACTTTGAGTTATTTAGACTCCTTATTCTTTGAGAGCCCATGCTGCAGAAAAATATTGCTTCATACTACAATCCCCGGCCAAATTATTGGACGCACTATAAGATTCTATGTAAAATCTTAATTATCAGGTGGTACTATACAGCTTTATTGTTTTTACGCGGCTGAAACCGGTTTGCACTTAATTATGTTCGTGTATCAATTGGTTTACATTGTGATTTTTTTTGTCGTATGCCTGTTTAGGCAGTGGGGGTGCGATTATTTCTGTTTTTCAGTGGCGCCATCTATGGCCAGGAATTCGACTTCCGCCACGCCATTCACACAACTACAACCCGTTTATAGGGGGGAGGGGTTACATTCGCACACAAAGGAGAAAGGACATAGAACACACACACAGAGAAAAAAACATCCATGCCTTGCTCGGGATTCGAACCCAGGACCTTTCTGATGCAAGGCTGCCCCCTACACAGGCCGGTCGGCTTACGTTGTGATGCAATGCGTTAAAAATAAATAGCAATAGGAAGTATATGAAAAGTCTCCTGACTAAAATCCCATTACATGTATGTTTAAACATAAATGTATTTCATATAAACTCGTGTAAAACATGTAATTACTGAAACACTACAGGCGTCTGGTAATTTGGTGTAATTATTATAATATACTAATATAGTACCTGATATAATAAATATTCTATATTTATATAATATATCGTCTAATTTATCCACTTGTAGAATTTATATGATGCATCGTCTCATTTAACCCATTGATACACGAACGTAAACAAGTGCAAACCGGTTTCTGTAGCGTAAAAACAATAATACTGTGTAGTATCTCCTAATAATTAAGATTTTACATAGAATCTCGTAATGCGTCAAATAATTTGGCCAAGAAATTTTTAGCAATGTGAATTCCAAGGAAGCTTGGCTGATTTATCTAGTAACTTTCAATAAGTGTAATATCATCTTTACAACCAATTTATTCTTTAAATTTCTCTTTAAATTGATCCATGGAATTTACTATTTAAATACTTTAAGTGTTATGCGTATTAGATTATTAAATTTAAATTTATTTCAAGTAGAAACAAAATAAATCGGAAGAAATGTATCCACAGATTATGAAAAGTTTTATAATTAGACAATGATTAATACTCGTAAAAAGTTTAAAATATTGGAAATTAGCAAATAATAACAGCATAAGAAATATTTACTATTTCGTATAAAATAACCTTCATTAATATACAGGTATGTTTACAATTCAAGTCAAAAATGATGTAATATAAATATAAATAAATGAAGGAGAGGCAATATTTAATTAAGAAATGTGTTTTTTGTCGAATCACTATGGAGGAAGATTAGCTAAAACACATGAAAACCTGTTTGATTGTTAAACGAAATTGAGAGGGAGTGAAATACTTTGAAATTTTATCTGGTAAACAAATTAGTTTTAATTTTCACCTTCCACAATAGTGATTCTTCAGATTTTGATAATGCTTTTATTTTCTCCTTACTTAAATATTAACTTGTGTAAGCCTTTAACTTCACTTCTAACAAGAGTCTTAAAACTTTTTGTTAAGAAATGTGATTACAGATCACCATCTGCATGTGTTTCCATTTGCCAAAATTTTAATGGCTCATAACTTAGTAAATATTTTATTAATAATATTCTAAATTATAAATCCAAAAAAAATTTAGAAAGCAAAAATTTAGCGAATTTCGTTCAGAGAATATTTTATCGAGGAAGAAATTTTTGAAATTATATTTTCTAAAATAGTCCGAGAAAAATTTTAAAAATGTAATATTGTGTTTTCATGCGGAGTGATGCCTTCATTATTTTCTATCCATGTCTTTTTTTGTGAATGTTCAATTACTTTTTGACTTACAATTAAAGAAATTGTATGTATGTATGTATATTATTTGTGTATATTAAAAACTATATCCCAGCTGTATGATTTATTTGTCTTAATTTTAAAATAATTTTTATAAAAAGTATTTAGAATTAATGTTTATTTCAGTGTTAATACTTTATTTTAGTACGTCTAGAACAGTGGTTTCCAACTGGCGGCCCGGGGGCCGCATCCGGCCCGCTAACTAAAATATATTAGTTGTCATTTTTTTGCGGACAATTTTCGTAAAAAATCTATATGGGTTCAAAATACATTTCTAAGTAATAAAAACCTAATTTCCTCGTTCCTGTGAAATTTATCATACCAACGGTGCCAAAAAAGTTATTGATCAGGTTTGAATCCAAGAAAATATTTATTCAAATACAAAAATAATTGTGTATGTTGCTCTTTTTCATTTCATTTTTTTTTTTTTGTATTTTGTGAATATAATTTGTGTATCAGAAATTTTCTCGAAGAAATTCTCCGATTTAACTTTCTGAAACCACTCATTTTGAACGAAAATATTTACACACATATTTGTAAATTTTAAATTTAAAATGTAAATATCTATTCTCTGGTAGTTGCAGCAGACAAACCTCAATTTTGTCATTGAACATTTTGAGTGCTACTATGTAAGTTTTAATACCAACCTTTTTAAAGTTTTATATCTTAACAATTAGATATCTGTTGCACATTAATTGTTTAATACATGGGTGCACATTAAAGTTATTGTAGCCCTAATTTTTTAATATGCAATTAAATATTTTTAAAAATCTACTTCTTATTTTAATTTGTAATTCAATACTTTTGTTTTGTACAACTTGGTAAAAATCTGACAGTAATATTTA